TCAGTGATAAGAACATACATATAAACCTACTAGGAGGTACAGGAGGGGCAGTCTGAAATTAATCTGTGGGGATGACAACAACTAATAACGGACGATGGCTGATAACATTCAAAGCGAGTGACTCTGTTTGGCCCACCAATGGGTTCATTTTTAAATAGATTTTAAACCATAAAACAAACTTAATGACAATCAGCTGGATGTCCGGCCCCTGAGCTCTTAGCTTTCAGTAGCTGTGGCCCCCTGAGCAGTTTAGTTGAATAGCCCTGGTTTAGACGGATGGGAAGTTTCTCAAACTGTGTTCACAATAGTTGTAGAATGCAACATGCTAGGCTTGTTCAGCAGAAAACGTGGAATTTCTGTGCCCTAACGCAACACCCACTAGGAGAGTCTTTTCTTTTTCCCACGGTTGTGCTTCGTCTACAAGCTCTGCAGAACTTCCTTTTGTTCACAGTGAAATTGTTGATCTGCTCTAAAGGACGTCTTGCTGTCAGAGTCATGACGGTGGAGAACAGGCTGCACAGCATCAATGGTAAATATCACGGGGAGGATTTCCCCGAGTAGCACCGTGTGTTGCAAAAACCAACAAGAAAACATCAAAACAAGAGCTGATGAATAAAAATCCCACAGTCATGCTAAGAGCTGCAATGAAAACTGACTTCACAACCCTCACAAACACAACATGCATCACAAGGGGCTGTTATTTCTATAAATAGTGCAGGCTTCGTCCACAACAAACTGGCTACTATTACACATCAACAAGCTCAGGCAGCAGCCACGAGCTGCTTGCCTGTCACATGTATCAGAGCATAACAAACACAGCGCAAACTGTGTGTGTGTGTCATATGCTCTCACACACTGAAACGCATTCATGTTTCTAACTGTAGTGGAGTTGGTCGCTGTTTTCAACACACTGTGGTATGCTTTCCTGTTTTGAGTCACAGGGTGTGGTTAGATCTTTGTGTTGGGTGCAGGGTTAGTTCGTTCGAAGTCAGTCGTTGCCCACGTGTTCAACGATCTTGTCCTTTGTGGACGAGAACAACAGCATTTACCAGAAACAGGATGGATGACAGGTAATCATAGGAGAAGGTCTTTAATGCACCTCTCCACTCTGAATGTTTTAATCAATAAAAGTCACTGCAGACTGATGCAGTGAGTTGAAGAAATGAATACACACCTGGACTGTTTGACCTTTAGTTACATATTTCTCCACAAAGAAATGGAACAGGTTCACACAAACGCTTGTAGTAATTATGTTCAAATGAGACACCCCCCCTACTTTTATTACAATATGATGTGCTGGGGTTCTGATTAAACACAGGAATTAAAAAAACCTGATAGATTGTATCCAGCTCTTTTAAACTATGATATTAGGTCTGAGGTTTTGAACACATATTTTCTGACCTGAGAGAGGAGCCAGTTGGACTGGTTTGAACATCTGGATGTGGCTGTGGAGATGTTTGAGTCTCACTGAAGAAGCTGCTGGCAGGATGAATGGATGAATGGAAGGAAGGAAGGAAGGAAGGAAGGAAGGAAGGAAGGAAGGAAGGAAGGAAGGAAGGAAGAATGGATGGAAGAAAGAATGGATGGAAGAAAGAATGGATGGAAGAAAGAATGGATGGAAGGAAGAATGGATGGATTGAAGGAAGGAAGGAGGGATGGATGAAAGGAAGGAAGGAAGAAAGAATAGATGGATGGATGGATGAATGGATGGAAGGAAGGAAGGAAGGAAG